CATAATGAGTTAAGTGCTTTTAAAAAGTGCTTCCCAATTGTAGGAAGGGTAGTTTTATTAAGATAATAATCTTCATGTGCCAAGTGGAATCACAGATAAGCTTTAAGGGAAAAGAAAAAAGAAAGGCAAACTTTCGTATTTCAATTCCATTTCCTCTTGAGAAAATAACCGAGATGCTATTAAATGATCCTCTCAGCCCAAGTTGCAGGGAATCGTTTAACCTTCTTACAAAGCTTCCAAGTAAAACTGAAAACAAGAACCATTTCAGCCTGGCCGGTGTGGCCCAGTGTTTGTATGTTGAACTATGAACCAGGAGGTTACGGTTCTATTCCCGGACAGAGCACATGCCTGGGTTGCTGGCTTGATCCTCATCTTGTAACCAGTAGGGGGGGATGCAGAATGCAGCTGATCAATGATTCTCTCTTGTCATTCATGTTTCTATCTCTCCCTCTCTGAAATCAATATATATATATATATATATATATATGTATATATATTTATTTTAAAAAAAGAACTGTTTCAGATTTTGTTTCTCCTCTGAACATCTTTCCAGAGTATTATGGTATCTTCTCATCTTTAGGAAGAAGCGACAGCCAGATTTCCTTTCCTGAAATACCGTAACATCATTCACAGAACCCTTCCTCTGAAGTACTTGTTTCCTTTCACATAGAGCAGGGGAACTGCTGTCTTACAGAACGGAGACATCAGCTGCTGAGCGCCGACTCAGACACCTGAAACTGCAAGGAACCTCAAGCTCATTGCCACCTGCTCATTTCACAGCCGAGGACACCGAGGCCCACAGCAGTTCAGGGATGTGGTCCAGCTGCTGGTGAGAGAACCGGAACTTGGATCCTGACTAGACTCAGGTCTGTGGTTCTTTCTACTCTTTCCAGAAGCCGATGTCTACAGAAAAGCTATATTCCTTTTGCTTAGTGCATAGTTTCTGGTCACAGCTCAGCTACAGACTCATGATGGAGTAGAAATGTCAGGAGGAAGAGCTGCTTGATTCGCCTTTGTACAAAGAGTGTATAGATCAGTGATGGCGAACCTATGACACGCGTGTCAGAGGTGACACGCGAACTCATTTTTTTGGTTGATTTTTCTTTGTTAAATGGCATTTAAATATATAAAATAAATATCAAAAATGTCTTTGTTTTACTATGGTTGCAAATATCAAAAAATTTCTATATGTGACACGGCACCAGAGTTAAGTTAGGGTTTTTCAAAATGCTGACACGCTGAGCTCAAAAGGTTCGCCATCACTGGTATAGATGGTAAGACATATACTGGACTTGCAATAAGTGTTGGTCATGACACTCTACTTAACATTTACATAGCATTCTTTCCACTGAGACATGCTTTTGCAAATAAGAAACAAGCGGAACCTCACACCGGACTGCCGATTGTCAGTTGACATGTTCTCAGAGTATATGCTTTCATTTTTTCATTTAAAAACATTAAAAACGAATCCAAGCATACACTTCACTGAAGGATCTCAAACACCCTGAAACGTTCTCTTTCCAGGTATGGTGAGGAAGTTTCCTACGGCTATTAGAGCTCTAGATAACAAAAGTGACTTGAATACTCAAGAGAAAAGACAAATAAAACACTAATTTCACAGGACACCTGGGATCGAATTTCTTTCTTGATGCGATCTATTGACCCACTGTGCGCACAGCCGTGCTAACTAGGGCACGAGCTGCTCTCGGTCTCTGCTGTGTAAAACAGCTCTGGTTACTGTACGAACATCGGCGTCAAGCTGGAGAGGGCACTGGGAGAGTTCACGGCCTTTAGGGCAGCCCACAGCAAGGGATGCTCCTGGCAAAATGTAAAATTATCTGCAGCCCTGAGCTGAAACCACGGGAGCACACGGACAAGCGGTGGTATTGTTTCCGATGGAGCCCCTGATAGTCTGCGCTTCCTCCGGAGCCTCCTCTTGCTTCTTCAACGAACTCCGGGGAATGGCATCATGTCAGGCTTTCCAGATGGATTATGTGAAGCCATAGCTCAATGTCATTTTCAATAGGAAGCCTCATAATTAAAGGTCAAATAGTCACTTCATCTGCAATCAATCAATAGAAAAAGTACTAATACGAAGAACTAATCAATCAATGGCAAATGCACTAATAAAAGCAATGAATCAAATTCAGCATGTGTGTAGGTGCGAGCACATGGAGGAGATCGAGACAGGGCAAGAGCAAGAACAATAAAATAAATCGAGAGTGTACATACAAGACAGCTTTCAGAAGGCTTCTCACGCAAGAGTTTTCACCTTTGGTTCTGTAGTTACATGGGTACCACTTGGACCGCAATGATTTATTCTTAAATACAAATACTGGATGTAATAATGAATGGTATTCATAAGTATTCTATTTGAGATGCTGAGTGTGTGTGCGGGGGTGTGTATGTATAAAACCACTTGGAGAATACTATGACAGTGACTGCCAAAGGTATAGATATATATTCTAAATACCAAGTAGATATAATCTGTTGTATTTTAGCTGTGTGTGTGAGGTGAAGGTATAGCTCCAAGTGAAATTATCTGAAATTTCCTCCTTGGTTCTGAAATATGAATTGCTCGCACTTAGTGTGATGTTCTTTTATTTCCATGCAGATAGAAGTTGCATTAGGCCACTGTTGTGACACATCCTCTGTACCAGTGATGTCGGGCACCAGAAGAGGGGAATATGTACTCGATCTTGTGAAAACAGACACAGGTAGCAAGGCCATTCTAGTAATAGGATCCAAACACCCCTAGCTATATGGGAAAATAAGGGGCTCCTGAGACAAGGGAAGCAGCAGAGAGGCCATTTTTATAAATGCTAGCCAGGTATGATCAAGGCATGATAAAATAGTCGAGTTGGAACTAAAAGTCTCTAATCGAAGAGCTAAGGAAACAGGCCTGGAAGGTACCAGAGGAAGAGTCAGGATGAGTATTTAGGTTTTATAGTTCCAAGAGAGAGTGAGTCTATCGTGTTACAGAAGTAACTAAGGATTTACACTCCATGGTTACTTAGGTAACTACACTAGTATTGTATTGGAGAATCTAAGTACCTGTTTCAGAAAAGGACACTACAAAAGCAAACAAGTCCAAGTTCCCCCAACCCTTTTCAACAAACAGCTACATCTGATTGGTGTTCAGAGCACCTACCTGTTTGTCTGAAAATTAGCTTTCAGAAAGCATCAAGAACAGAGAGTATGGCTCTGGGATTATGGAAAGAAGAGACAGAAAGAAAGAGTGAACAGGAGTTTTGCTTATAGAAAAGAAGAGGATGCTGATTGTGTGCTTTTGGGGGTAGAGTTCATCATTCAACACCAGCACAGAAGATCATGGAGAAACCAAAAAATGCCCCGTTGGGAGGGGCGGGTCTAAAGGCCCCTGTAGAAATGCTGTGGCTCAGCATCTGCTCGAAGGACACAGGCTCAGGAGACCACGAGTTGGGACATCTGAGACATTTGCGGGCACCCACCTCTGGACTCCCCACCTTTATAACAACCCCTTACTTTTTAGGAGACCGGAAAATCCAGACATCACATCACAATATCCACATGGGGAAAAAAGTGTCAGATGGTTTCTTTGAGGTCAACAATTAAACAACACCTGTTACATGAAAATCTACAAGACAGACTGGGAATGGTAACACAGTCATAACTAATACAGTTAAAAGTAACTAGCAACAATAGCTACTGCTTAAAGAGTACCTGCTAGGTGACAGGCAGCATACTAGCTCTTCCCGGCTATCTCATTTAACCCATAGCAATTTACATACATTCTGGCATGAACTGACTACCCGTTACATATAAGCACTGTGCTAGCTACTTAACAAATTTAATTTTGACCTTTACAATTGCCTTTCAAAGTATTACACCGCCCCATTTTACAGATGGGAAAGCTGAGGTTCAGGAGGTTAAGTGATTTGTCCAGGGTCACAAAATCAGGACTGGAATGTGGCTTTCAAAGGTCTTTCAACTTCAGTTTGATGCTGATTATAAAGAAAACCTACCAAACATGCTACAATGTATGAACAGTATATTTATTCAAATTAGCTGCCAGCCCTAGGTAGCAACTGCTCCTCAAAGAGTTTGTCCAATTTCTAAATCACTTTCCAAACTTGGCGAGAGTGTCAGACAAATATGAGGGAGGGGGGTTACCAAAAACATGATGAAATGTCTTTGTTTTCTAGGTTCAGACTGAACTTGAACATGAGCAGACTCACAGCCACGTCATGATTCTTCCTTTTCTTCAGTGAGTCATGAGCCAAAATGAAAAGTTTTCCTATGAGTTTTTGCCACAGTGTGCCTATTAGCCCAAAGAGTTTATGAGTGATGTATATTTCAGTGAAGGTTCTGATTACTTAATGACTTTTAATGACTAGAAACATGGATTCTGGATACCTAAACACGTTATTGGGATAATGCCACTAAACTGGATAAAGCTAAGTAGAAAACAGCATTTTCCTTCTTGATCTATTTTTGTCCATTAAATAAATAAATACTTATTTCACTTTAGATGCTAATCAGATTGAGTTAATAATAATGTGTTTCTTTATCGAAGCAACATAACATTCTGAAATGAACTCCAAATTAATGTCAATATCCAATTAGAGAAATAATGTTATTTCCACCTTGCCCCAAGCTTCCAGAAAATAAGTTAATATTTTCCAGGGGCAACTCTAGAGCCTTCCAAAGCTGAGTTTTTGCCCATTGTGCACCCCCATCCCCAGCTTTTAACATTAACATTCCACATGGAAAACCTTTTATGAGAATCAAAAACCTTACAAATTAAGCTAGATCCTACATTTTTAACTGTAGGCCCTCCAAAACTGGTTCAATCGTATAACAGTATTTCAAAGCAGCGGCCCATTCTCATTTTGCTATTGTCCTTTAACCAAGTGGATGATAGCCCATTCCATTTAATTTGAAGCACTGCTTGAATCTCACACTCATAATATGTAACTATCTGAGGGCTAAACTAGTTTGTGAGTCTGTGAATCACTTACCCAAAGTGAGGGATTTGTGTGTAGAACAGAAAATGATAGCCACAGTGTCTGCTGGTGTGAAACCGGAATTATCCCTAGGGGCAAGAGAAAAAAGTGCTTTACGAATACTTTCATTAACAGCCTATTTAACATATCCTAAATCAAACGTAGTACCCACCTTCGTGTTGACATCCCTTTCACCAATCCTGGAGACAGAAGCCATTCTATGCCCAAATGTCTGAATGTCTTTACAGAGAATCATTTCTGAGTCACTTATCCTTGGAAGGGGATGGTTTTAAAATGGTGTGGTGGAGGTCTCCTAAGATCACACATGTAATCAGTGGTGGCGCAGGACTCCAGGAAAGTCATGCCAGGAGGCACTGCCTAGGCTATCACCTGATAGCAACCTGTTGGCTTGAAAGAGTCATTGTGTCTGCAAAACTGCTCACTCAATGACAAACAGGTCCTTTGAGAAGTGCATGGTATGAACAAAGATTCAACCATAGGTTTTAGTAAAACATTATCCCATATATCAAGCCTCCTCTCAGGTCTCTGCAAAACATACCAATCCATCCCTGCTCACAGCTGAGAAACTGAGGCAGAGAAGGTGCATGTGACCCAGGGCCCCACAGCCGGGGCATGACAGAGCCAGGATTTAAGTTAAGTCTGGCTCCTGTGCCTACGCTCTTAACTGCTATGTTCTGCTATTGCTATATAGTATGTCAAGCATGAAAAGACCCTCACTTAGCCAAAAGCCATTAAATGGTATGGGGGTCAGTACTGGTGAACATCATATTCAGATTATAGAAATTTAGAGACCAGGACAGAGGCTAGAAATGTCATTATTATCATTGTGTCCTTGGCATGTTAGAGACGATTCCTTCCTGAAGAATGAGGGTGTGAAGCCAGTGAGTCCGTTCATCCCCTGCCCTGGACCCAGACAAGAGTCAGCAAATGGAAAGACGCGCTAGACCCGGCAGCGTGCATATAGCTGCAGTACTCTATCCGATTTTTAAGGATCTCCAAAAAAAGAGAGCCCACCATTTCCATTTGTAACCTCAGCCTCATCTATGACTTCTGTTGGAAGAGCAATCTTCCCTAAACAGGTCCCCACATCCTGTTTTCTCTGTGACACACTCACTGGAAGGAGAAGGGCCGTCTCCTGCGAGGGCCTCCTCCCTGTCCCCAGTTCACAGGTTGACAGCATTTTAATTGCCCTTCGGTCTTCTCGCCTCTGAAACGTCCCATGTGCTCATGCTTCCTAAACGGTCTACCTCCAGCTCTTTTTCTGATAACAACTTTCCAAACTGCATTTTTGGTGTCCCCCTCAGCTGAGAATCCTCTGTGGATATATGTCACTTGAGTATAATAAGATTGCCTTGCCATTCCTACATTTCATTCTCATATTTATATTGTGATACCATTCTTATTGTTTAATTTTTTTAATTAATTTTTTTGTGTTAATCCTCCCTGAGGATATTTTTCCATTCATTTTTAGAGAGAGTGTAAAGGAGGGGGAGAGACACAGAGAGAGAAACATTGATGTGAGAGAGACACATGGATTGTTTGCCTCCTGCATGCGTGGCTCCCCTCCCCACCCAACCAGGGCCAGGGATTGAGCCTGCAACTGAGGTACATGCCCTTGACCAGAACTGAACCCAGGACCCTTCAGTCTGCGGACTGACGCTCTATCCACTGAGCCAAACTGGCTAGGGCCCACACTTATTCTGTAAACATTGTACTACATGGCCCACATAGTCCTTGATCCCCTCATTCATCATGGAGGCCAAATGTGAAAGGAGCCCCATAAGGTCCTGTGAGCATGGAGGAAAGGAAGACAGGCATATACTCCATAAAAGAGAAAGAGAACGAGAGTGGTGGTGGTGGTGGGGTGATTTGGAGTGGGGCCAGGTTTCTCTCAAGCTTGGCAGGGGAGTGGGTGGTGATGGAGCACAAAGAACCTTCCTGAAGGAAACAGCTAGTGGGCTGGCCTTTAAAGAACAGGCAGAGACACGTGTAGGCTCTCCAGGCTGACTGTGCGCAGGGACACTGGCTTGTGACAAGGAATGCGGCCTTGGTAAGTGGGGCCAGGAGGAGGAAGAGGAGCAATCACACAGCACAGTGTGAGACTGAAGATGATGAGGCGACGCAGGAAGCAGCACAGCGGGGGCAGGAGGTGGTGGGACGAGACATGAAGACAGATTTAAAAGAACTTGGCAAGTGTTGGCCTCTATGAAATAAATGTTGCCTCCCAACAGCTGAAGAGCACAGGCTTTTGGGGCAAATGCACAAGAACTTAAACTCAGACCATCCTCTGCTTGGACATAAAATGGGGATGATAGTGCCTGCTTCTGAGGGCCACCTTCAGGATAAACGCCAGTGTTTGTTTAGAATCTGGCACGCTGCAGTGTTTAGTACTTGCTGGTTATTTTACTGTTACTGTTGCTTTGTCAAAGGAGGAGGGATCGAAGAGATGAGAAGCTTTGAGCATATGGGACTGAGAAAGGCATCAAGGCATTGTGGGAAGTGGGGGATGGGCGGGCCCAGTGCTGTCTGGGAGGAGCCTGGGAGCTGATGTCCAGGTGCACTGAATTGGAAGTGGTGAGAGGGAAGAGTGTGCTGCGGAAATCTGGTGAAGAGAAGAGAGGGCCATGGGGATGTGATCACCTAGAGAGGGAAGATGCAGCAGGAGAAACAACGGGGGAGGCCAGGTCCTCAGAGAGGCCCCAGAGGATGAGACAGGGGTTTTAGCCTCCGAGGGGCTGTTTTCTCTGGTCTGAGCTGGGAACAAGAGATGACAGGTGAGTGAAAACTAGAGAAAATTTCCAGGTGGAGAATGGGAAAATGGAGGCAATTTATACCAGAGATTTTACTTTCTTTGTAAAGGGTGAGGCACTTCACTCACCCATAGAGAATTGGAGGTTACACGGAGGCCCAGGAACCTAAGACATTAGAAAAGCTTGAAGTAGGCAGATTGGGGATAAAATGTACAGCCAGCTGTATGGGAATGAATGCCACCTTGACTGCAGACCACGCAGCGTAACCAGCTGGGCGAGTATGGACTGCCCAGCAATGCCTGGGTCTGCAACCCTGCGGAGGCCTTTCCTTCTAGTTCTTTGCTCCCTCGTTTAGATCCAGCGGTTGCTGCATCTGGATCCAAGCAGTTGGGTTTTCTTCCCAGCGAATCTGACAATACCCTCTCCTTTGGGGAACTTTGCTCTGCTTCGTATTTGTTCCTTTCCAGATTAGAGCACATTCCCAATGTGTCCAGATCTCTCTGGCCAAGAAGGCGCTGACTTAAGCTGGTGCGGCTGCCACTGGCCAGAGCAGCACGTACAGTGGCTGAGGAGGACGTCTGCAGGGACTCGCTAACGCCTCTGCTCCAGGAAGCAGGCGCAGCCGGGCCCCCACTGGGCGGTGACAGACCTGATCTCAGGAGAAACTGCCCCTTGGTTCTGTTGACAGGGTCTGCAGTCGGGAGGGAGGATCAGTAAATACAAGGGGAATGATTAAGGTTAGAAACAATGTTCCCCTTAAACAGGGCTGGCCTATACCGTTTTAGAAAGTAACAGACCACTTCACATCACGGACCTTGGGGAAAACCAACAGAGCGCCGCTCACTTAGCCCTCCACTCAGGATGATGTTGCTGCTGATGAGTAACCACAGCAGGGAACGCTGATTGTTTTCGAAGCACTTTGCTGCCTGGACTTCTCCTTCTCCGAACAGTCTCATAAGGTAGCTAGTATTATTGCCTTGCTTTTTCCACAAAGGGAACTCGAAGCACAACTGCAAGTCACACAACTAGAAAGTAGGCTGCCCCACGTCTTGGAGATAAGTTTGCCTCCGAGAAGAAAAATTATTAAAAAAAAACATCGCCAAAGAAAAACCACCCAAACGAAAAACCACCACTAAATGTAGTGGGTGAGGGCTGCTCTCTTGTGAAGTGACCTGCCCTCAGCCATGCTGTGCACTGCACTTATGCGGTAATGACTCTACTTTCAGCGATTAGCATCTCTGTTGTGTCTGCTCACATTTTTGAGTCACATTACTATTTATTTCTGATTCGACCTTATGACTTTTTAATATTTTCTTTTTAACCTGTTTTTATAATTCTTTTGATCCCTCTGGCCTCCCTTGGGATGTTTATTTCCTTTCCTTCCCAGCCGGTTTCTTTATTGGCTCTTAGAGAGCTTTCCATCCACGTTTCCCACATAGCATTTCGTTTGCCTCCCTCTGCAGTTCCTACAAAGGAAAACATGTCAGAGGTTTTACAGGGAGAATCACAGAATGTGGAGCAGAAAAGCTCCTCAGAGAGTCCCGTGTGAGTGCTGTTAGAGGGGACGTCCACGTGAGGTGCTTTCCTTTGTTGACCTCTGGACCTGTGTTTTGTTTTCACTCATTTTAGGAGGTGACCTCCTCTGTCATTAGCTGAGCAGCATGAAGAGTTCCAGAGCTCTGTGGCTCCGCTGCCTCATCGCTGAAATGGTAAGAGACTTATCATTAACCACAAGGTTGTCTTCCTTCTCTCCCTCCCGCCCTCCCTTGCTCCCCACCCTCCTCCCTCCCAGGGCTATAGGGAGAGGCCCATTGAGACCTGGGATTGAAAATGTACTGATAAAGATTAAAAGACCTGCACAAATATTTGAATATTTGTTTTCTTCCTCTTCTCTTGTTAATGCTTTCTTTTGTCACTCTAGTGACATTCTAGGTTTCTATTCCTGTTATCTGCTTATCAAACTGTCTTTTATATATTTTTAAAAGGCTCCCAATGACTGCTTTATTTTTCTAAGCCTTTTCAACAATTTTTTTGTTCTTAACTTTGACAACTTTCCAAAGTTGTAGAAAGCGTAGGGTAGGTCACCATGGACGGCTGAGTCTTGGTTTGATGAATAAACTCTCATTTCCTAGCAACAGTGACACAGAAACGTCCAAAAGAATGTATTACAAAACCAGAAATGCTAATTCCCTCTCTTCCATAATTAGTTCTTGAAATAATATGTTATTTTGATATAATAAATATTCTGCAGTAGCTAACATTTACTGAGCACTTACTATATGCTAGGTGTTATGCTGAGGGCTTTGTGTGCACATCATTTAATTCTCCAAATGCCCCGATGAGACAGTACTACTACTGTCTCCATTTTATAATTGGGGAAGTTGACAACAGTTACAGTTATTAAACAGGGTTGAAACTGGGGTCTGTTTGGCTCTAGAGTTGGAATTTATAGCCTGAACACTATTCTAAGGACAGAGAGATGAGAACACAGTCGCAACTCTCATGAGTATTTTAAATACTCAGAGCAGAGGAGGCTCCCGTGCCAGGTCAGGCAGGCTAAGCGATGCTCACCAGGGGAGCAGAGTGGTGCAGGGAAGTTGGATTTTCTAGGTGGGTCTCCCCAGGTTTAAGCTAACCTGCCATCATCGGAGGTCAGTGACATGCTGTACAAAAAAGACTTCTTTCCATGCTGAGACTTTTGTGTCTGGATAATTGGATTGGTTTGAGATGTACTGAATTGATAAGAAAAAAGCCCCACAGGCCACTTTTACCAATTTTAAGTAGAAAGGAACAAAAGGTGGGAAAAGAAAATTAAATTCAACAGCATATAAACCAATGGGTATTAGTTCCAATTTTTGGTGTCTTTGATTAATTTGTTTGTGTTTCTGTGTAAACCTAAAGAATCCAGTTAAACATTCTCTACAAATTCCCTAACCAAAACAAGTGTTATGAATTTTTAAAGAAATTGAGGTAGTTTATTTAGTGCAGTAGAAAAAGCATGGGCCAGTGCTTTTGGAAATGTCAGGTGGCAGTGGATTTCAATTCTAGGTGTGCTGTCTGTCACCTGATTTTGGGTAAGTTTCTAAACTAAACTGCTCTAAGCGTGGGTTCTCATCTGCAAAACAGCAACAAAAATGCCCGGGATCACAGTCTTTGCTGTCATACTTACAGGGAATAACTCATGCCCAATCCCTAGTACAGTGCCCGGCCCTGAGCAGGGTTCACTAAATGTCGGTAATTTTCACTCCTCCAACAAAATCTCCAGGCATTATAAGGCCTCTCAGCACGAGAAGAAAAAAAAAGTGAAAGTGAAAACCATCTACTAAATCTTGTCCAATTGCAAATCCCCAAATGTTAATGGAATATTTGGGGATACATACCCATTACCCAGGAGCACAATTATAGCCACCCCATAGTCTTGTTTGTCAAAGACACCAGGCCGAGCACATTCAAAACCCAACAGAACTTCAGTGAAGGCAGAACAGAAGTGTCTCAAAACCACAGGCCTTAGGAAAGTCCAGCCTGCTTCAGGCTGAAAATCCTCAGTTTTCATTCAACTATTTGTGATGCCAACAGTCCTCCTTCAGCAGCCTCAGTAGTGGCTATTCTGTGTTTTTCAAGAATTTGTCAGTCACTCACTCACAGGCATGGCATCCTACCTAGTCTGATAGGACAGGATGAGTGGCCCGATGATCACGCTGCCACAAAGACCAGCAAAACAGCCAGTGAAGGGCACATGTCTTTTCTGAGGTGCCCTAACAAGCCATTTACAAAAAACAAAACAACAACAAAAAACACACCTTTAAAATAACTCCTACTCTCAGACTTACCTAAATGAGTCACACTTTCTTGGTAACTCAATGGCTCTAGGCTTTACTCTTACTCATAAATCACAACACAAGCTTGGTAAAAATGCTTCAGATTACACCCACCAGTAAGTCTTCATTGACTGTTTACAATCAGCTCCTGCTACACCGAGTGCCATGGGGTCAGCTGCCTAACGTGAGGCCTGAGCCCTCTGCTGCCCTGACACTAGCAGGCCCCACCAACAGCCCGGCCCCCACCCTTGTGGCAAACTCACTGCATCACCTGGCATTCAAGGGGCTGGCAATCTGTCCCAAGCTTACCTTTCCAAATAGTATTATTTTTAAACTCCCTCTACTCTTATTGTCCCAGCGTGTTTTGGTGTGTGTGTGTGTCCACATCTGCATTGTTTATTCTCCCACTAAGAACCCCCTCTCTGCATCTCTGTTTGCTGAATAACTAGCCATGCTTCATGACCCGGGTCAAACCCCATCTCTTCCAGGAAGCCATGCTCTATTACTGTCTTTGGAGGTGCTTTCTTCTTTGAATGGACTAAGGTTGGCTTACTGTACCACTCAGGACAGGTAGTTATCCATGCATATATCTAGTCTATAACTCATGCAGGACTGGAATTATTTCTTATTTCTGTCATTCACTATGGTAACTTTCTCATACCAAAGGCTTACATAATTTCTGATGGAAGAAGCTGCATTAGAGGCGAGCCTTTAAGACCAGGGAAGATGAATGAGGGTATGGAGACCAATTTTGATATGGGGACAGCCTTAGCAAAGGCAAGGGATGAGAACACAGGAGGTTCTTTCAAAGGACAGCAAAACCCTTACCTCAACCTAAAGCTTTGGCAGCAAGATTGCCAGTGGTGGTTCATGAGACTGGCCTTGCCTTAGCCCCCAAAGTGAGCTTCACTCTGCAGGCTCTGGATAACCAACGAAGCTCTCGGAACATGAGCACTACTGTCAGAACTCTGAGTGATTCGAAGCAGTATGAAATGCATTGAGAAGTCAGGCCTGGAAGTGAAAATACCAGTAAGATAGCCATTGTAATAGACTAGGGCAAGAAGAGGCAACAAATCCTGAATTAGGGAAGTGGCTTTGGAAGCACAAAAATATTACTGGAGTAGGATCAAGAGATTAAAAAAAAATAATGATGTGAAGGATTCTAGTCTGAGTACCTCTGTGGATGGTGGTTCCATTAACTATAAATAAACAAATGAGAGAGAAAGTGTTGGAGGAAAAGAGGGAGCCCATTCTGAACATCTTGAGTGTGAGGTGTTATGCTGACAACAGGGTGAAGTTATCTAAATGGTAAAGGATGAGTCATGCTGGAACTCAGGACAGACATCAGAAGGGCAGGTCTGGGCTCTACATTCATCAGCTGACAGCTCCCAGCTCGAGCCAGTCGAATGGAGGAGCTCCCAAGCACACGATGTGGACAGAGGAGACAAGGGCCATGGGCAGTTCCTTTCCTAAGGTCTCCCCTGGAGGATGGCAGGAGCAGGGTGGAAAGTGATGGCCAGGCGGGCAGGAGAAAAACTGCAACAGCATGGTGGCGCAAAAGTCACGTCAAGAGCATGTGTCTTCATTTAGAAAACAACCAACAAGAAATACCAAATCACTTACCTTGTTGAAAAGATGAAGGTTAGAAGCATAAAGCCCAGCTGAATAGAAAATACTGGGGAGAAAAAAGGATTGAGCCTACATTAGCACTATAAAAGCAGTGGCTGTAGCATATTTACTGGTATGCTTAGTTTGATTTGAAACTAACAGGAATTCAAATAGAAAAACAAACAAGCATAAATTGCTGAACTAATACAATCATTTAAATTAGTGGGATTCAACCTGTTCTTATTGAAGATATCCCCAGATACAATCTATGAGGTCTACTACTCACGGCAAATCTAAAACTCTGTTTGATTTAAGATTTGGTTATTAAATTTGTTCAGTTTAGAGCCAATTGGTTTATACTATGAATATTTATAGCAAATAGCATAAGTGTGGTAGGATATAATAAACATTTTGGAATAACTCATCTTGATTTTTAATAACATAAGATTCTTCGATATTACAATTACCAAAAGTTGTCATTGGTATTGCAGGATAAATGGAACACAAGATTTCTTTTCATTTCTTTTCGTTTTTTGGTTAACAGCCCATGTTTTGTTTTGTTTCTTTAATATATTTTATTGATTTTTTACAGAGAGGAAGGGAGAGGGATAGAGAGTTAGAAACACAGATGAGAGAGAAACATCAATCAGCTGCCTCCTGCACACCCCCCACTGGGGATGTGCCCGCAACCAAGGTACATGCCCTTGACCGGAATCGAACCCGGGACCCTTCAGTCCGCAGGCCCATGCTCTATCCACTGAGCCAAACCGATTAGGGCAACAGCCCATGTTTTAATTACCTACTACATTTTAAAATATTGTCCTGAACTCTGCCTGTGCCTCGATAGAGGCTGAGAAGTTGGAAACAGCCAGGATTAAATGACCTTTAAATCCAGACTGGCCTCTTCTGTGGTTAAAGAATAGGGACACTGCCTCCCTTCCTGCCATCTCTAGTTTGGAGCAGAAGTCAGCAAAGTTTACTTAAAAGGACACGTAAAAAATACTTTAGGGCCCGGACTGTGTGGTTCAGTGGTTGAGCGTCGACCATGAACCAGGAGGTCACGGTTCAGTTCCCCGTCGGGGCACATGCCTGGGGTACGGGCTCCATCCCCAGTGTGGGGTGTGCAGGAGGCAGCCGATCGATGATTCTCTCTCATCATTGGTGTTTCTCTCTCTCTCTCCCTCTCCCTTCCTCTCTGACATTAATAAAAATCTTAAAAAAAATACTTTAGGCTTGAGGGCCATATGGTCTCTATGTCAACTATTCTGTTCTACCTTCTAATTGAAAGCAGCTATAGATAACGCATACATGAATTTTTGAGCCTAGCAGGTAAGCATTTTATAGTCTGCTACTTCTTACAAAGAAATGATATTACTTTGGGTATACTGTAATAGGAAAATGATGTAAATATTCACATTTTAACCAACTGTTATAAAATAATAGTATACATTAGAAATCCTACTTTTGATTTATGATAAAGAATAAGAGTAGCTCAAGTTATAATAATATAAAATTGGCAAAAAGTGCTCAACTTAACATTTGAATTGGACAGATATTATGACTTCTTTCACCTGGCATCAACCCTTGCAAACCAGACATAAAAGGACATAGGAGAATAAGTCATATGTGTATCATTACTGATGTCTTTGTAAAAAACAGATGCACTTGGTAAAGTCACTGAGCACATAGAGCATGAAACTAAGTATTCTTTTCTAATCAAATTAACATTCACAATGAATGTAGGGAACATACATGCTATGCTTTGCTATTGAGGGGACAGCGAAGGTCTCCCGTGTCCCACTTACTTATGAACAGTATGACCACAAGGCTGAACTTATCCAGGTCAATGTTCGGGTTGGAGAACGTGCCGCAGAAGGTGGTGTAGATGATCATGAGGAGCACGCTGCTGCTGATAGCACCAAAAGGAGGCTTCGTTCTTTCAAGCCAGTCCTTGATGTACCTTCGGACAATCTGAAACACAGAGATCAACAGGGAGTGGGATTGGGCATCTCAAAGCGATTCTGACAGCAGGAAGACAGCAAGGAAAGAGAGTAATTTGGATGATGGCCACAGTAGATTTCAAAGCATCCCTGCCACCCCAGTCTTCTTCTGGGGAATTTAACATTTGTGGTGCAGCTTCCACTGGTGTCCATAATAAGAGTATGTTTTCAAGTGCATTCAAATCCATCCTTCATCACGCCAAATGCTCTTTGCTAGCTGTCACCGAGACATGCCCATTAAGCCTCCCCAAAGTTTATCTCCTCTGTTCATCCTAATGGATGTGTGTAATTATCACAGTCCCCTTTGCCTCAACAGACAATTCTGAGTGCGACTTTGGGAATCTTAAAAATCTGACATCTTCAAGAATTTCAAGACAGCAGATAATAGAAAGTGATCCATGGAACATATTAATATTTAAAATGTTAGCAACGCACCAGAAGTTTTTAATTAAATTATAACTCATGCTTGAAAAGCAAAAGTGCATGTGTTGTGGGAGCTTAAATAATTCAAACTCTGAATATCTAGAGTTTTTGTGAATCCAAAGACAAATGCCATTTGCATGCTTTTAGAATTTCAGAATTAACACTTAACAATGAATAAACCTGCCCTAACTTTCCTACAAAAAGGATCGGTGAAATATAAAGTTATAGAGCAATCCTCTCATATTTTAGAACCAAATCAGATATTTAAAATCAGGACAGTCTGAATATTGGTGATAACTTTCATTGGGACAGAAGAGTGAACCACTATTTAAAGCCCTTCACTTTTGAAAGAAGCTGAACAAGCCCTATAATACGGACCCCAGTTGAGACATATTACGATTTGAGTCACTCATTATCTTGCATAATTGAACATGAGACTTCACAACAGGCTGAATTACCATGATCCATTAGCAATAATGAGGTCAGGGGACTTCTCCTGACAAGGCTGATGGGGTTCTGCCATCCTCTACTGTCACTAAAAAGGCTTAATTTGCCAGGGGGCATACCTTCACAGGTACTCAGGAACAAAACAAACCACTCACAGAACAAACCTGTGAACAAATGGCTGTTCAATAAACCATGTCTGTTCTCAAGGACTCAGTGAGTGAAATCAGTCTTAGTAAATGGAGTCCTGGCAGAAAGCTGACTGCAGGCACAAGACAGAGAGAGGAAGCTCGGGTGCGGTGGGAGGAAGGGGAAAGTGTCATATAAGTATAAATAGTGGTTAAGTTTTTTTAAAAAGTAGATCTTGTAATTAAATTTATAGTTGAATTTATAAAAAGTTATGTTGCTGTTGTTTTTGAGAAGTGATCCCAAACCGTAGTAATTTATTTAGTGTTCGTTTCTTTCTTTAATGTCACAGTGTGGTGAAGTATGTATGGAGAGATAAGAGCGGCCTGTCACACAGTGCTAGGCACTGATGTATTAAAATGGTATAAATTTAGGATAATAGCGTTCAAGGTACCCAGATGGCCCACGTTCATGTGTTACAGTGTGTGTATGTGTGGTGGTGGTTGGGGGTGGGGGGGTGGCTTATTCGAAGGCTACAGAGGAACTTAATTTAAAAGGTCACTTCATAATCTATTGTGTTTGGTAGCATAAACTTGGTAGTTGCCCAAATTTAATACAACTCAACTCATTTAGGAAGGAAAATAAATGGAAATGACATAGCGTTACTGAAACTGATGCTGTCCTCCCATCTTGTTTTAAAATAAAATGATTAAAAACACAAAGATGTCTCTGCAGTAGGTTACAGCATGTATGATTCTAATGCCAAACATAAAAGTGTCTTTCTTTCCTACCATCGCCCCTCTGACAGCATCAACAAAGACATGTGAATTAGGTATAACCTGAAAGTCAAAGGCATTTTCAAAGCCAAGGCACATTTCTAATCTAAGCAGCGATGGACTTCGTTAGCCTAATCATCTCTTTCTTCATTACTAAGTGCTCAGAGGCTCAGAGTGGGGATGACTCCTTCAATGGGGCAAGTGCAGGCTCCCGAGTCCTGCGTCCTCCTCCCTAAATGCTTTTCTTCTAAACACGTCAGCGCTTGAACCTGGACACTTAATCTCGATAAAGAAAACAACCAGCACTTGGGGATTGGATAGACCGACAAGTGAGACAACACCCCTAGAGGAAAACAGATCGTCTTCGCTGTTTTTAGTCTTGCGGTGATATTTATCTCTGTTTTTTAAGTAAACCATTTTATACCTTGCCAGGCTCTATAGAGCTTTTCCATCTTCCTCTCAAATTAAATTCACAAAGCAGGTGTTGTTGGCCTGTGTAGCCAGAAAACTGTTAAAATGCTTCATAAGCCACTGGGTGAAGTAGAGCTGATATTGCCTTAAAGATTGATTTGGATATAAACTCCAGGAAACCTCGCCTTCTCTTAGTTCAGCCACTTATACTTTCCATACATTCTCCGTGAGTCAAGAATCCATGTCATTTTATAATTCTCCAAACTTCTTTGCTTACAGAAGTGTTTAAAACCTTACAGGAAATAAGGCTTTGCTTGGGATGGTCAGCACAACCTGATGGGTGCCCGAGAATTCCCTCTTTTGGGGAAAAACCACAGTGCAGATGAGGGGAAAGGCACTCCGGTGAGGGGGCCAGCTGTGTCTTTGCTCAGAATCTGTGCTCATTCATTTGCTCTCAGCGCTCAGAGAAACTCAGGCATTCAAAGCCAGGTCACAAATTCTCATGAACTTGTTTGCCTTTTTCTATGGAGAGAGAAGGGAAAAATCTTCCACAGCTTTTTATTTTATTGTCTCACCTTCTGTATTTTGATTTTCTTTATTTTAAACTAAGTACTAGTAACGGTGAAAGGGCAACTTGAATCCCTGTATCCCTGTACTTCTAACAAGTTGAGACACATTAATTACTGCAGGACCTGCACGACACAAGCTGGGAGACTAACACACCTTAGGTGACAAGTGCCCATATTTGGAGATAATCAAGAAATGTAATATATATCACTTTAGTTTCCACTTTGTTTTTCCCCCAGGGTATTTTCTTGCCTTCCCCAACTGGTGTTTATATCTATTAACTGATTTTTGAGTGGGGATATAAGGTGGGTAATTTTTCATGTTAGGTCTGAATTTTAAAATGTATTTTTCCTTCAAGGTGGCTTCAGATTGTTTCTCCAATTTTTATCCTCTATTCCACTGAATCCATAAATTTTCATAAACTATTTTGTTTCATTAATATTCTGTTGTAATGTATAGTCAGGGATATAAAATCAAATCCAATGTATATTCTGTAAAAAGTATACTTTGTAAAAAGTGTAAACAACAATAATAAATGAATACAATAAGCACCCATCATCTACTTAACTTTTTGAAAATCCTTTCCCACTATTACTTCATAGTGTTGTAATGAAAAAGGCCATACAGATGTTATCCTGCTCAATTTACAGCTGAAAACACAGGCACACAGAGCCCAAACAACTTGCATAAAATGTTCAAAAGCTAGTTAGCTGGCTGAGCAGGAATATGACTTTTCTTTTCTGAGGGGTCCCTGGTCCATGGAGCTCACCTTCTGGTTAGAGGAGATAAAGAAAAAAGCAAAAACAACAAACAAACAAGAAGCAGATACTATCCTGTTAGGCAGGGGTTTATACTGGACAATAGCGAGCGAGGCGGGGGTGGAGGGGAGATGAGAAAAGGTCTTTCCTTTCTGAGAGGGAGAGGGAGGTGTTCCAAGCACAAGGACTGACGATGCAGTGTCTAAGGCAGGTTCGAGGCTGGCCTGTTTGAGAAGCAGAAGCACAGGCAGTGAGCCCTGAATGCAATGGGCGAGTGGGAGAGTGTTAGGGGAAGTGGAAGGGGCTTGAAAATATAGGACAGGGTGGAGTAACCCTATAAGGAAGTCGAGTGAGGCGTCTAGGAAGTGTTGTATGCCATTTTAAATTTGAACTCAAGAATTTAAAGCAAGGTGAGACCAACTATGTGTTTCTCTCTAGCAAAGCTGGAGACCCGGGGGAGATGCAGCTGGGGACTCCGTGAAGGTAAATTCATAGTTTTCTTCAGGCAATCTTTTTATACAGCTCTCACCCTATAGTGGAGTATGCTATTAAATATACTTATTATAATAGAGTCTCTGCTTCCAGGAGGCTCACAGATCAAGTATGATCTCCCCTGATAAATATTATGCATCAAGACCCTGGGGGAACTGGAACTGGGGAGTCAGAGCAGGTGGACTGCACGTCAGAAGGATCTCTGTACCGAGTCTTAAGGAATGAGTTCGAGTTTGCTGGCAGAAAAGATGGGAGAGTAAGATGAAAGGCATGGGGCCATGAGGGGCCTGGTTAGTGGGGGGGAGGGAGCGGGGAGGCTGCATATGGCAGAATAGGAGCCTAAATGAAGGGGCGGAAGATGACTGTGGAGAGGCGGGCTGGGGCCAGAGGATGAAGGCTGTGTGGGCCACACGGCACTGGCAGCAGGGAGCCAGCAGATGCTTTAAGGAGAGGAACAACCTGACCTGATTGGGTTCTTAGGACCACCCTGGAGGCAGCAAAGACCTTGGGTCGGAAACCGGAAGAGGCTCACAGCAGAGACAGTTTGGGAGGTGCATTTAGACAAGAGAGGATGAAGGTGTGGATGTGAAGATGCCAGGCATGAGATTTCTGAGGCAGAAATGGGGGCACTGCCTTCCTGGATGGAAGGAAGGATGTAGGGGAGGCAGGAGGCAAGGTGGTTTCTACAGGTGGAGGCTGGGGTGTGACGGTTATCCTAGAATATAGGAGGGGGCGGTAGATGTAAATATAGGCACTTTGATATCTAGAGTACTTTTAAAAAACCACTTACACTACTTTTGGCAACCTTTACTACTTTATAATTTACTATAATACTTTACTAGTGAGCATGTAAAGGACAATAAATTTAACAATTTATTATTCTCTTTGGTTAAATATTATTAATTATATAAATTATATAGCCATCTGCATTTAAAAAAAACCAATTGAATGACTGACAAAGATATTTTCTTTGTCCATATGTTTTAAGCCAAACATTTATTATTAACAGATATATTTCCAAGATCCACTAAGAGAAGAATGTATGAGCCCTGGCTAGTATATGAAATTATTTTAAGAACCAAGAAAATAACTATGGGTTTAAACTAATACTATCCACGGTGTAAACTGTCTAGATCTGAGGAGGGCAGGTAGGTATTGTTATGTCTCTATAAGACACAGCATTTCCCTCACTGAGCATAGAACTCTCACTCATTCCCTTCCTCCCTCATTCATTCATTCAGCACATATGTACTGGGGGCCTATGCTCTGGGTATGTAATGGTAAGCAAAAAAAATATGGTTCCTATACTCATTACAGTCTAATCAAGGAGACACACAGTTAACAGGGAAACAAATGATAAGAAAGTAGTGAAAAAGGACAAGAAAGGAATCAAACGAGGTGCTGCAATACAGATAATCAGGAAATCAGGTAGATGGTTCAAAGAAGATATGAATTAAAGAGTCAAACAAACAATGAGCTGGGGTGGGACGGTGGGTAGAAAGACCCTCTAAACAGAAAAATTAAGCAGGAATTGAGAAAAAGCCAGGAAGGCTAGAGTGTAGGAAATGTGGAAAATAAGTTAGAGAAGTAGATGGGGGAAATAATATTTATTCAGATTCCTGTTGTGTGATCAGCACTGTTCAAGTATCAGTCATATTTAATTAAATTGTATTTTTGAGTGCTTTAAAATCCTTCCCCCTTATCCTAAATTCAGTCCCTTTTCTAAGTATAAAATTAAAATAAAACAAAAAGATCAGTGCCTGTATAGCGGATGCTGTGATGAGCCACCCAGTTCTATCCCTTCGGGAATGGGCTGCTTGCTTGGCTGAAAGATCTCAGTTGAGCTCCTTTGGGAGTTCTGCTGAGCGAGCAGATTCCCCCAAGGCCACACCTCCCATGGGGAGTGGGAGGGACAGGAGCATCAGGATAGGCAGGACAGTCTGACGGGTCCTCCCAGCTCCAGGGCACCCCTGGGACATGTTGAGGCCACCGCAGGACTGCATCACAGTTCACCTCCTCCTCATCCCGCCCTTTCTTCACTCTCCCGAAGGTGTTGAGCCCCAGGGTACTTCCCCGCATGGAAACCTTGGTCTCAGTGTTTGTTTCCCAGGGACCCTAACCCAAAATAGCTTGTAAACACTACATGTCTATACATACACCATTTTTCATAGTTAATATTTCAAAGAGTTGCCTTCTGTGTAGTATTTGTAGGGAATTTGATAGTGATGGTGATGACAGATGCTATGGAGTACTTACCTGTGTCAGGCTCTTCAATGACAAAACCTTTATATGCATCCCTATTTCCTTAAATACCTTTTAAGATGGGCGTTATTATTATTATGCAATTTAATAAGTTGTGAGTCTGGAACTAAGGAGATCAAATGATTTGCCAAAGGTTGCACAGAAAATAAGAGGTAGAACTAAGTCTAGAACCTACTTGTTCTTAAACCCATGTCTATGCCCTTAATCATCCAAATATATTCTTTCCTAAAACTCATTCATTTAGTAGCACATTAAATTCTGTTGTTCTTTACTGTGGCTACCTGTGAGTAGAAAAACAACCTTGTTTTAAAACCTGTATCTTATAATTAAATTACGTGGTTATTATGACCTTGTTATAAAAAATTAATTTGTACGAATTTATTCTATTGTCCAATTCAATAAGAATGGTAAAGGAAAGTAAATTTTCTAGGATCCAATGTAAGAGCTTATAGAATTAAATGTTTATTTTGCTAACTACACGATCACAAATAGGATACCTGCTGCTGGAGGAGGCTCTGAGCAGCCAAAGACAGATGCTTGCTCACAGCAACGGCCCCAAATGCCGAGACCTTACCGGAGGTCACAGAGCAAGGTAACGGTTTACTAAATGTTTCAAGCTAGCTGCATAGCTCTAAAGAAGGGATAATAAATGCTAAAAAAAAATCAAGATTCTGGGCAGGTGTCCCTATCTATAGCTATCTGTAAAGCACATTGATATTAACTAAAAAAATAAAATGATGAGACTATTGTGATTGATAAAACCTGTGTTGCACAGTCTTGTATTTTCATTTAACTGTCTCATCCTTTATCTTTTTCTCAACTGTCCTGACATTTTGTAAGAATTCACAATTGATCTATAAAGAAAAGAGCAGATGGAATTAGAGACCTTACCTGTCCAATAATGAGAGGAACCACAACTGTTACAGAAAGCTGAGAAAAAATAGATGTAAAAGGCACCGAAGAGGATGAGCCGAGCTGTTAAACAAGAATATAAGAGGAGTTAGAGTTACTTGGAACCAGTGAGCAAATAGTGCTGTTAGACAAATAATGCAATAAGATAATTCTTTCATAATACACCAAAAATTTGGTAGCTACAAAGAACAAATGAAGTTATTTAAAATTTTTAAAAATTTAACACAAAATAGACTGCTAAGTAGTTTAGTATACAATTTTTATTGGGACACTAAGTTTGAGGACAAACAATAACTATTGTTTTACAATTAACTGAGATAGCTTATTATGAAATCCAATTCTGAAAAATAAAGTGATTCTGTGTTCATGGTGTCTATAATTCTATGGCATGATATTTCATCTATAATCATAGTTTATGTGATTACCATTTCATCTATCACCTACATAAAACAAACAAGTATATCTTATTCTCTTATCAAGGTGATGTTTTTAGTTATGAAAGTGAAATATTTTCTAACTTTCTTACTCCTTCAAAACAAAGGCAATGAGTCTCATAGTCTTTAAATTTTTTTTTCTTACACAAAGTCTAGCAAATGGGAAATACTGAACATGACGTAATTTTCAACTTAAAATGTCAGTATACCTCTCCTAGATGTGTATGTCTCAGCACTGTTCATAAATCCTATTTTTTAACTCTTCCTCATTTTTTTGGCTCTTCTTTGCTAATTACTGTATTCTCGGCTTCCTAAGAGCCAGCAGCACAAAATGGAGTTTGTCTACAAACACAGTTGCACCCTCACATTAGCCTCAACCACCAAGAACTGCTGTCTTCCTATGAACTTGAATGTTTTTCAAACCTCCTTCTGGTTTTCAAACCTGACAAAATACTAACCTGTTCCATAGATGCTTCTCTCTCTCATAACTCCCTGTTGCCATCACATTCTCTCAAACCATCACTGATGAGCTCCCTGGCCCTTGGAACTTGCTGTCACCCTCCCCCTGCAGACCAAACTTCAATTTCCATAGTTACCTGCATTTAATTAAACTTGGAAATACCTTTTGGAAAAATCATTTTTATAAAATACATTGAGATGGTGATGACCGAGGACACAGAATGTTAAATAAAACAAATCAAATCTTTAGATCAATGAAGTCAGTAGCTCAGGATGAAATGTGGGATCAGTGTTTTCACTGGTTTCTGTGTGAACTGACTCACCAAAACCTTTCTCTACCCTGGAGTAGTTTATCAAGTTCTACACCCTATCGCCAGCCCAATCTAGATGCATTCAAAAGGCCAAGAATGTATGTCCTGCCCATTGGTGCTGGCACTCATTCAACACCACCTTCAACACTGACCACTGGCCACTGGTTTAACTCATAAATTGTAGCCCCTTCCTCCCTGACCGAGACACACTAACGAAATGAAGAGAGGGAAGTAGGAAACGTGGAACTGGTGAGGAGCAGATTGGATTCCTGATGTAGTAAATGCTACATGGCTGTTAGAGGTTTCTTTTAATGCAAAGCCAGAGTAGTAAAATCTAATTTCAGACTATTTCGGAGCAGCAATGTCCTGGAGGCACAAGGTACTTGTACTTAACAAATATATTCTCTTCACAAATACCAATTCCAAGGATGCCCTTGGGGCAAGGATTGAAATAAAGAAAGACATACTTTACAGGAAATTGAAGCACTGGATGAACAGAAAAATACACTTTAAAGAACAAAGTTTTAAAGTTCAAAACATCTAGCTCAATGGTCTATCCATAGGTTCACAATGTTCGGAGAGAGCCAGTAGTAGTCAGGGTAATAACTGTCTATTAAAAGGTGATGATTCTTGTCTGGAAGCTCATGGATGATCTTACATGGCCCTGCTCCTCTTTCTATCTCAACTTTATTAAGTCAATACTTTCAAGGTATTTTAATGAATAACCATGTCACAAGCGATCATCCCTCTGCCATCCCTGTGCTTAACCCAGTAACTGGCACAGAGAATGCGTTTGCGGATAAATAAACAGAACAAAGAAATTAAGTAATGTGTAAACATGACGTGCTAAAAAATGACATACTCTTATTCAAAACCATATCCATTTTTTCCTAAAGTTAAAAAAACACAAGACTTAAGTATATATAAAATATTATCATGTGGTATTATAAAACTCACATGGTATTTTTTTCTCTGCTTATTTATCACTAATAACACAACTAATTCATATGTGCACCTAGACACAAAGGGCATACAGTCATGACGAGAGCCATGTGAAGAAGGATGTGAATGTGTGTGCGTGTGTCTGTGTGTGAGTGTGTTCTCTGTGTATCTGTGATTGTGTCTCTGTGAGTGTGTCTGTGTGAGTGTGTATCTGTGAGTGTGTGTCTCTGTGTGAGTGTATGTCTGTGATTGTCTGTGTGTGTGTGTCTGTGAGTGTGTCAGTGTGTGTCTCTGTGTGAGTGTATGGCTGTGATTGTCTGTGTGTGTGTGTCTGTGAGTGTGTCTCTGTGCGAGTGTGTGTGTGTCTCTGTGTGTGTCTATGAGTGTGTCTCTATGTGAGTGTGTGTGTCTCTGTGTGAGTGTGTGGAGCAGACAGAGGGTGGCCTGTTCTCTGCCCTCAGCTCTCCTCGCCTCCTCCTTAGATCCTTAATGCTGCTCTGGAGAAGACTTAAAATTGACAGAATCTTAACCCTGGGAGAGACTTGTAGCCCCATTCCATTCCCTCTTTTTAAAGATGTAAAAACTGAGGTTCAGCAAGAAGTGACTTATAATTAACATCTCTAATCGCTGCTTTGTGATATGAAATTGGCTATACTTCTAAAGCACATTCGAGCCATCCTTCAGCCAAATCTGCTCCGTGACAACAGCTCACCCATACTGGGAAGGCTGTTTGCTTAGCCATAAAGTATTCCTCACAGCAGTAAACTCAGAGATCAAATGGAGAAAAAAGCAAAATCGTGGCTTCATTTACTAAGTTAATTTGGGGGTTTTATTCTATCTAAAACAGCGGTCGCCAATGGGTGGTCCGAGGACCACTAGTAGTCCGTGAGATCTGAAAGGTTGGCGACCACTGATCTAAAACAGGGGTGGGGAACATCTGGTCCAAGGGCCGTACAAGGCCCGTGAAATCATTTGGTCTGGCCCTGCCAAGGCATTAGGGGTTAATTAAATATTTGACCAAATATAGCAGGCTAATTTTTAAGTTGATAATCTTGTATGGCCCTCGAATGATGTTTATAAATATCCAAATGGCCCTTAGCAGAAAAAAGGTTCTCCACTCCTGATCTAAAAGATCAAATTTGGCATAAGAGAAGTAAAGGAAAACCCATTTCAACTTCAGTTTTAAGAATGCCATGTGTTCTAACTTCCATTCACCATTTGCAGGGTCAGTGTTTGGAAGCTTCCTGCTCCTTGCAGACAGTGGAGAGGGCTATGGGGTGAGGGGCAGTTGCCATGGTCTCCAGGTCCCTCTGAGTTGCCTATGATCTTAGATACACTGGATGAGGAATACGGGTTAGAGCCGCCCTCCTCTGAGGCTTTGTCAGATCAGAGGCCAGAGCACGCTAGCCAGAGATGTCATTAACAGGTTACACAAAGCCAGGATGGGTCCGCGGGGATGCTGGGAGGCAATCCCGCAGGAGGGCTCCCTCAGAAGTGGCTCTGAGAGGAAGGGAACCTCAGTGCGGGGCTCTAATTTGGCACAAGTCCTATCTTTCGAATTAACCACCAGACGGGTCTTGGGTCAGTGTGGAGATGCAGAGGGACCCTTGGGGAAGTTTCTGACACTGTGAAGCATGCCTGGCATCCAGAAGAAAGAAGAGCGAGCGGCTGGCACAGGACGGCTCCTGAGATCATGCCTGGAAGAGCCTGAGATCCAGCCGTTCCGCATGCAGAGATGACCTTAACTAAAGCAGAAGGAAGCACGCTGTCTGGGGTACTCAGCTCATCACACTTTAATGAGGAACCTGTCGTGGTTTCTGTTGTGAAGACCAGTGTGTTTATAAGAAGCATCCATAATTCGCACACTTGGACAGACTTGCAGGTTCAAAACGCCTTGTGCCAAGCAAGTGCTCTGGGCCTCACTGAGCTACTGAGGTAGCATAGCTTTAGTGGTAACCTGCCTCATGCTGCCAACCTGTGCTAAGACACAGTGCCTTAAACAACCCAGTCATCGGTTAATTTCTTTCAGGAATAGAGTGCTGTGAAGCAGAAACTCACAGGTAGGTTTGTGATTTGTTTTAATATCTTATGCTGAAAAGAAGTGATTCAGTGAAAATTAAACTTGTGGAATTTAGGAGCTTTGTGTTCATTCACAATGTGAATGTCGCCTGTGAGCCACGGCACGCCTAGGTGCTGGGGATGCAGCCGTGCACTAAGCACCAACCCTTCCTCTCCAGTTTTAAAAGTTGAGTTTTGTGTGGGATCCACCCATCATCTTCCTATGAATGTCCTCCCCCTCCTCACTGAGAACGAGAAGAGTTCTAATCTCTTTCTAAGACTCAGTTCAAGCATTTTTTCTTTAGGAATCCTTTCCAAACCCTCCTCCCAAAATGCAGATGTGGCCACTCCCTCCTTTGTGGCTCTGTGTGTCCACTGGACCTCTCAGCATCCTCGGTTGCTCTTGTTTGCAATTCTGTCTGTCCCAGGAGTCTGTGTGCTCCTGAAGGCCAGGGACAGAGTCTTACTCAAGTTCACATTTCCCGTGCCCAGCAGAGTGGCTATGTTTTTACATCTGGGGTACTCATTCTTACACCAGCACATCAGAAGCATCTGTTGGGTTTGTTAAAACAGAGACTACTTGGCCCCACCTTCAGAACATCTGGGGAGGAGGAAAGGCTGGTGCTGCAGAGCTGGGGTTCCAACTTTGAGAACCACTAATGCAGTACATAGCAGGTGCCTAACAAATGACCATGATACATAGCTAGAAAAAGAGGCCTGGCAACGTTTTCTTTCCTTCCCATCCTTCCAAGTTCAGGTATCTTACAAGGCCCTACTGAATTCACAGGCCCAGGCAAGGACTGGTGGGCTGGCCTCCCACACAAATGTCCTAATTATACTAATGGCAGCAAGATTGTGC